GAAGGACGTGTTCATGGAGGAGCTCAGAGGATGTCAGAAGAGGTGTGGTGTGCAGCACATGGTCCCTAGGGATCCGTGACTGCTCTAGGGTGCAACATTGCTTAGCTAATGCTTTCCTGTTGGTCCTCACACACAAACGCTGATTTTCTTTCTTGGGTCTTGTCACAATAGTCACACGAGTAATTAATTATTTGTAAGCTCTGGTTTAATGCTTGTCAAACAAGGTGAACTGTTCCCCATGCCTAGCAGGGGCCTCAATTTTTGGAAGTGTTCCACAAATATTTGCTTGCTGAAAAATTAAAGCCCAGATGAACAGGTTGTCTCTGATGAGTGCCTTGAAGAAGTGAGTCCCCCCCCATATCTGAAGAGAGCTGATCTCCAAAATTTACAAAGAACTCAAGAAGTCTCCAAAACACCAAAGGATTCAATTAAAAAGTGGGGCACAGAACTAAATAGAGAATTCTCAATAGAGGAGTCTAAAATGGCTGAGAGACACTTAAGAAAGTGTTCAACATCCTTAGCCATAAGGGAAATGCAAATCAAAACAACTATGAGATACCATCTCACTCCTGTCCGGATGGCTAAAATCAAAAAACACCAATGGCAATTTATGCTGGAGAGGATGTGAAGAAAGGGGAACACTCCTCCACTACTGGTGGAAGTGTCAACTTGTACAGCCACTTTGGAAATCAGTATGGAGATTTCTCAGGAAAATGGGAATCAGTCTACCACAAGACCAAGCAATTCCACTCTTTGGCATATACCAAAAGATACACATTCATACAACAAGGATGTCTGTTCTACTATGTTCATAGCAGCATTGTTTGTAATAGCTAGAACCTGGAAGCAACCTAGATGCCCCTCAACTGAAGAGTGGATAGAGAAAATGTGGTACATTTACACAATGGAGTACTACTCAGCGGAAAAAAAAAACCCAATGGAATCTTGAAATTTGCAAATGGATGGCACCAGAAGAAACCATCCTGAGTGAGGTAACCCAGTCACAAAAAGACAAACATGGTATGTACTCACTCATATATGAATTTTAGACATAGATCAGGGGAGTGCCACCCTAAGAGAGATATGCATGGTACCCCAGAGAATGGGAATGAGGCAAGATCTCCTTAGCAGATTGGGAGCATGAGGGGAGAGGAGAGGGAGCTAGAAAAAAGAGAGGGGAGAGAAGGACATGGAGGAGCAGGAAAGTTGAGTTGAGGGAAGAATAGAGGAGAGCAGGATGAGAAAAACCATAATAGAGGGAGTCATTTGAGGTTGGAGGAGAGATCTGCCTGTAGTGATATTTCCAGCGATCTACAAGGATGACACCAACTGGCAAACTAAGCAATAGTGGAGAGACTACCTTAAATGCCCCTCCCTGGTAATGAGTTTGATGACTAGCTTGTATGCCATCCTAGAACCTTCATCCAGCGACTGATGGAAGCAGAGGCAGATACCCACAGCTAAACACTTAACTGAATTCCTGAAATACAGTGACAGAGAGGGAGGAGTGATGAACAAAGTGTCCAAGACTGGGCAGGTGAATCCTACAGACACAGCTGACCTGAACAAGTGGAAGCTCTTGGACCCCAGACTGATGGCTGAGAGGCTAGCATGGGACTGATCCAGACCTCCCGAGTGTGGGTGTCAGTGAGGAGGCCTAGGCAATCTATGGGACCTTGAGTAGTAGATCAGTATTTATCCCTGGCGTACAAATTGACTTTGGGTGCCAATCCCACATTGAGGGATGCTCTCTCAGCCTGGACACGTGGGGGAGGGCCTAGGCCCTGCCCTGGATGAAATGGCAAACTCTGGAGATCCCCCGTGGAGGGCCTCACCCTCCCTGCAGAACAGAGTGGGTATTGGGTGGGGGTCTGGGAGCACTGGTGGGGGCGGGGGAGGAGAGGAGGGAGAAGGAGCTGGGATTGACATGTGAAACAAGCTTGTTTCTAATTTAAATTAAAGAAGGAAAACAGAAAGAAGCGAGTTTCCCTGGCGAGCAGCAGGGCATAGGAAGGGGCTGTGAAGACAGAAAGCGCTGACTTGAGTGGGGCATCCTGATGGACTGTGTGGCTAAGGGGGAAGGGATACAATGTGACTTGCTGCAGACATTCCCTTGAGTCCTTCAGTAGGAATGAGGTCTCAGTGATTGTCCCGCTTGGGGTATCTGTTCTGTCTATCAGTGGGGCTTACTGAGCTAGGAGCTTGAACAAGAAGCACCTACCCCCGCTGAAATGAGCCCCATTTCCAGGATCCTAGATGTCTGGAAGAAGAGTGCCTGGGGGCAGCAGGTATTCAGTCTTGCCTCACAATTCATCCAGAAACCCGAAATGTGCTATTTCCTAGCCTTCTGCACCCTGATGCTGGTGCTGAATGCCGGAGCGGGCATCTTTTGGGAATGGATCTGTGAATAGCATGGATGAGACGGTGAGGGGAATCCTGGGAGGAGTACTGGGAAAGTTCTGGGAGTCAGCGAGGAGGGACTGGGCTTGAAGCCCAGCCCAGCATCAGTTTTGAACTATAATACCTGGGCTCTGATGGTTGATGCAAAGATGTCTCTTTCCTGCTGCAGAAGCTGCAGCTGATGCTCTCAGCAAATGGCTTTACTAGTCTCCCGAGAATGCTAATGACATCTGTGTCCCAGGGGGAGGTACCCTCATACCCTTTCCTGGAATATAGTATTTGACAGAGGCAAAACAAGCCAGTGAGGTAATGGCGACATAGGCCTGTGATCTCAGAGCTTGGGAGGGGCAGTCAGGAGGACTTCAAATTGGAGGCTGTTTTAGTTACTTTTCGATTGCTGTGATAAAACGCCACGACCAAAGCACCTCATAAAAGAAAACAAACATTTGGCTTGCAGATTCCGAGGGTTAGAGGCCATGATGCCTCTAACAGAGGCAAAGGGAAAGTTGAGTGCTCACATCTTGAACCACAGCCGAGAGAGAGAGAGAGAGAGAGAGAGAGAGAGAGAGAGAGAGAGAGAGAGAGAGAAGCAGACAGACAGAGACACACAGAGACACAGGGAGATTGTAAGAGATTGTAATAGGAATCACAGGGCTGTTTTGAAACCTCGAAGCCCAGCCCCTGTGACAAATTTCCCCAAACAAGGCCACACCTCCTAATCTTTCCCAAACAGTGCCACCGACTGAGGACCCAGTATTAAGGTATACGAGCCCACGGGAGTTCTTCTCATTCTAAATACCACAGAGGTCAACCTGGGCTACAAAAGAAAGATCTTGTCTCAAAACCAACCAATTGACAAAACCAGAGAATTCTATAACAAATAGATGAAGTCCCTACCCTACCCATAGTCCAGTGGGGGTAAATAAAGCAGGGGCACAAAAATTTTTTCAAACAAAATGAGAACTGATAAGTTATTGGAGGGAGGTAGAAGTAAATCTGAGGGATGAACTTTCAGCAGAAAGGAACATAGAACGATGTCTGCAAGAGACGATGTTTACATTAGATTGGAAAAGAGGATGTGATCCTAATCTTGCCAGCCACAACAATAACTAAGTGTGGTGGTGCACACCTACAGTCCCAGTGTCAGGAAGTAAAGGCTGGGCCTCAGAGCTCAGCCCTGATGACATGAGATTCTTTCTCGAAAATCAATCAAACAAGGAATCCAACAGCAACAATAAGAATAATGATAACTTGTTTTTTAATTATTCTTCTATCTCTTGAGACTATCATGAAATTACATTTCCCTTTCCCCTTCTCTAAGCCTTCCCATGTATACCTTGCTCTTTTTTTCAAATTCATGACTACTTTCATTAATTATGGATGCATACATTTATGTATACATTTTATATATTTATCAATACATATATTCCTAAATATATAGGTATAACCTGCTCAGTCTGGATGGTTGTTCAGTCTCTGTGATGCTACTTGAATGCACATTTTCTTTTATTCTTCCAATTTTTTTTATTTAGGTTAGAAACAATCTTGTTTCACATGTCAATCCCAGCTCCCTCTCCCTTCCCTCCTACCCCTCCTTCCCCACCAGGTTCCCCAGCCCCCCACCCAATCTCCAGTCTGATCCCCAACGAGGGTGAGGCACTCCATGGTGGATCTCCAATAACTGTCATTTCATCCAGGGCAGGGTCTAGGCCCTTCCCCAAGAGTCCCGGCTGAGAGAGCCTCTCATATTGTGGCTCAAAGTCCATTTTTACACCAGGGATAAATACTACCAAAGGCCCCATAGATTACCTAGGCCTCTTCACTGATACCCACATTCAGGGTGTCTGAGTCAGTCCCATGCTTTCTACACAGCCATCAATCTGGGTTCAAGAGCTCCCCCTTGTTCAGGTCAACTGTTTCTGTGGGTTAAACCAGCCCACTGTTAACTCCTTTGCCCATCAGTTCTCTCTTTCTGACACTGGATTCCAGGAGTTCAGTTCAGTGTTTGTCTGTGGGTATCTGCCTATGCTTTCATCAGTTGCTGGATGAAGGTTCTGTTTCCTAGACTCTCTGACAGTGGGATTGTATGCTGGCACTCCCCTGATTCATGTCTACAATCCATAAATGAGTGAGTACATACCATGGTTCTCTTTTTGTGACTGGGTTACCTCATTCGGGATGATTTCTTCTAGTGCCTTCCATTTGCCTGCAGATTTCAAGATTCTATTGTTTTTTCTGCTGAGTAGTACTCCATTGTGTAAATGTACCACATTTTCTCTATCCCCTCTTCAGTTGAGGGGCATCTAGGCTGCTTCCAGGTTCGGGTCATTACAAATAATGTTGCTATGAATGTAGTGGGACAAACATCCTTATTGTATGAATGTTGAATGCACATTTTCAGGGCTGACCATTTAGTATTGGTGTTCTCTTCCCTGGGGAAGACTATTTCTCCCATTCAGCATTCCTTAGTTGCCTGTAGTTCTTTAATGACTTGTTTTTTAATCATTTGCTACAGACCCCGTATACTTCTTAAGGAAACTATCTCTATACAATGCATCCAGGAAAAGAACTGTCATCCCCCCTCCTTTTTTTTTTTGCAGGTTAAGAAACTGAGGATTCCAGTAGGCACCTAACCTGGCCAAGGTTTCACTACTATTCGGTGAGAAATCAGAGATTGAGCCCAGGCTCCCTGGATCTGGAAGTTTATACCATTGAGCCTGACAGAGAAAGTACTAGCCTCTGTATGCTAGAAGCTTCCCCCATAGAGGTCTCAGGCTGCTTCACCCGAAGCTACTGAATCCATGGATAGTATAGACCATGTTTTGTATAGACCATCTTCTTGTCACTCATCTTAGTCCTAGCTGGTCCTCCAGAAATGTTAACAGAGTAGCAGTGGGCAGTGTCTGTGGTGATGCTAAACACTGTTTCAAGAACTCTGTACGTATTAACCCATGCCTCTCCCCCAGCTGCACTATAGTGGCAAATAGTCACTAATTGGTTTTTGTGGGTGAAGGAAACGGAGTCACACAAGTTTACGCCACCTGCTCAAGGTCATGTAGAAAGTGAGTGGGGTCTTGGATAGCAGCAACTTTGGTTAATTCCCATTTTGTCGTCCTGAAGGATTGCTTTCTAGTTGTTTTTGTTTTTGCTTTCTTTTTCCATGCTTTTTTTTTTAATGCCAGGATGAAGTGTTTTATTCTGGGATGTGGTGGTGGTGATGGGTGCCCACAGATAATGAAGGCAAATTTGAAGCAACTCATCATTTCATTATTCCTAGGGTCAGGGTGGAGACCTAGTGTGTCCTTTCCTGGGTTGAGAAGCCCCTGGCCTGGAAAGGATTGAGGAAACAGTGGAAATTTGCTTCCATTGACTTAAGGAATTAGGCTGACTGCCTTAGGAACTCTTGGATTTTGCTTGTGTGTCTGTGTCCCTGTGGGCAGGGAAAACAGTGAGCTTCCTGGGTGATTGGTGCGTAGAGACCTCACTTTACTGAAGAACCCCCTTCAAAGGCTTGCATGACCCTCTCATTTTTCCCTGCATGCACCTGTGTACCTCAAGGGCCGAAGGCTGTGCTGAAGGTAAGAACAAGAAGGCAAGCATGCATCTTTTACATGTGCTGCAGACGAATCAGTAAAAACATGATATGATTCCTACATTCCTCCAGTGAGGTTTATCGCTTCAGTGCTTGGCTTCTGTGGTGTTAGCTTTTAGTTTGATTTCTGTGGCTCTCAATGTCCTCATCTGTCAAATGGGGTGAGTATGCTAGCTACTGATTTGCCTGAATGTGTGAAAAGTAGTGCGTCTGTGCTACTGTTCCCAGTGTTTAGTCCAATTATCTGCCATATGTAATAGGAGCTGTGCAGTCGGACAGCGTGGCTTTGAATTTTGATTCTGTATCAAGTGTCTGGCGCATTTTACATCTGTGTCTGCTGTAACTTCCACAGTGGTGAAGTACAGGCTGATTGCATTATCCTGTAGGATTCTAGAGCTGGGCTGGCAAAGCTCCGAGGTTAAGACAAGCCTGTGGTAAGCCCTGAGGGATGCCAGTGCCTTTGTTGATGTCACTGTGCAACCTCCGTTTGGTGCATGAGACACCGGGGCCCGGAAGAGACTTGGTGGTAGTTTGGGGACCGTTGGTTCTTCAGAACAGCTAGTCTTCCTCAAGGTCTAAGTACAGATTTCCCTGCATCGTCTGCGCCCCTTGGAAATGACACGTCTTGTGCTCTCTGGGCTCCTGTGTCATTCACACATGCCCATTCGTCAGCACTGTAACGGACTGCCATCCAGTACAGCTTCCAGGCCGCAGCCGTCCCCGTTAGTCATTTCAAGACTGGTCTCTGTTGTCCCATTGCGGCCTTTCTCAAACCCTCCCCCTCTGGGGGCCGCAAGCTGGAGAGGAAGCTCAGAGGCAGGGGGCCTCAGTTTTATTCTTGGGATGACAACAATTGGTGCGATGAAACCTAAGCCAAGGGGACAGTGAAAACGGCCTTCTTCACGTCTCTCCAGAGCGTTGTTCAAAGAGTCCAAACAGCGGAGCGGAGCCCTGGACTGTTTGCACCACCCACCGCGCTGGACGCTTTATGGAGGGCCACAGCCCCTGGCAGGAGCTCTGCTGGCCCTCCCCGGGTTTGAATAAAAAAAAGCAAGCCACAATACACATAAAACCCTAATGTGCCTTCAAAATTACCTCATCTTTTATTTAGAGGGTATTTCGCCCTTGTCTTCCTTTATCGCTCGTTATATGACTGAAGTGGGCCAGCAGCGCCAAATGAGGCCATCGCGGACGCTGTGCGCTGGGACTGTTTATGGCCTAATGCTGGCGAGGCAGCAAGGCCCCAAGAGTCCCTTCACTGAGGCCCCTGCTCCCTCCCCAAAGCCGGCCTCTTCCCTATTAGGCCGGGTTCTCTGTGCCTTTATTTTTTTTTTCCTCCCAAACGTGACTTTGATTGTGTTTCTAGAAGGGAGATGCCTTTCTCAAAGCCGAGTTGTCAGGTCTGGTGGGCACCGGCCGTCATCTGAGCATGATGCCAAGGTTGGAGGCCCTTGTTCTCTGAGGTCAGTTTAAGGTCGAGAGGAGAGCTGGGTGTGGTGTCCACCTGTGACCCCAGCGCTGGGGGAGCTGAAGCAGAAGGATTAGGAGTTGAAAGTCAGTCTCATCTACCTAGTGATCTGGGGCCAGCCTGGACCACGTGAGATGTGATGTCAAAAACATAAATTTGCCAAAGACCAGCAGAAGCTGTGGTATATTTTAGAGCTCTTTAAAAGGTAGGGGTGGGGAGAAGGGAGGAGGAAGGGGTGAGGACAAGGGAGAAGGAAGGGGTGAGGAGAAGAGAGAAGGGGTGATGAGAAGGAGGGGGTGAGGAGAAGGAGGGGGTGAAGAGAAGAAGGGGTGAGGAGAAGAGAGAAGGAGGGGATGAGGAGAAGGGAGGCTTTTACATACATCAACTCTAGACTGTAGTGTAGCTGCAGAGCCTGGAAGGCTTTTGGAAACAGGTGAGCGCCCACCTCACTTTCAGGGGATCTGATTCTGGAGGCGTTGTCTAGATCTGAGACACCGCACTTCTGAAGGGTTCCTAGGGCATGCTGAGGCTGTCATGGTGTGGGTCCGCACACTCCATGATGGAGAGAGTATGGTATAGCATGGTGTGGTATGTGTGTATGTGCATTTGTAAGCGTGTGTGTGTGTGTGTGTGTGTGTGAGAGAGAGAGAGAGAGCATGTATGTGTGAGTGTGTGTGTGGGGGGTGTGGGATGAGAGGGAGGGAGAGAGGTTTGTCTGTGTAAACACAGTGTTTGTTGTCTTTACTCTCTGAAGTGAGGTTTTCTACCTAGGGGGAAGATGGGCTCCAAGGACAGTGAACTGGATTCTAGGTGTTAGGACCGTGCGACTGAGAAAGCTCGAGTGTACACAGCTCTGCACACTTCTGCCGAGATTTCATGCAGCGGTCATCAGACACTGGGAATGTCTAGAGTCCTACCCTGCTGTGAGGTGGGTTCTTTCCATTTCACCATCTTCAAAATTGACAGGATCTCCAAGGACATGTGGCCACCTCTCTTCAAGAGCCTCAGTTCGCTGACTCAGAAATGCCTCAGGGTTTTATCCATGGCAGTACACGTCAGTCATTGCCAGCGGGCTAGAACACCTCTCTGACCTCAGCATCTGCCGTGGATTGAGAACAGCAGCAAGTGCAGCAGTTGAAACGGTGAGGGCATGCATGTGAAGAGGGTGTGGTCATGTCAACCAAGTACCATCACTGTTGCCGGGCACCTTCAAGTCAACCCTCAGACTCAGAGAGCACCTGCTGAAAGCTTATTACACTCCATGCTCTTCATCCTCAGCCGTTGTATGGAACCCTCTGGTGCCGAGTCAGTTTGACTGTCTACTGATGGGGAAAAACTGTTCCTCTGAATGGTGACGAGATGTGCCACTGGCTGTTAAGAATCTGCAGGGACTCACTTGAGATCATTCCTGGCTTTCTTTTCCCCACAATTCAGCCAGAACTCACATTTGTGAACTTCCGGCTCCATGGCTTGGTTTGTTTGATGTTAGCAACATCTTAGCATCTCTGGTCTTTATCCTTTGGAAGGTGGCAGGATTGGATGAGGAATGGTAAAGAACAGGCATCTTGTAATGTGCTCTAATGGTAGCATCTTGTGGTGTGGGAGGTATTTTCAAAGTACTTTTTGGGCCTGTGCAGGCTTCACTCATGTCATCGTTGGTTCCATAATTTAACAAGTATTAGCGAGTACTTTCAATGCATCCAGAATGGTTCGCGGTGAATTTGCAGAACAGTCATTCCCCTGTCTGAATACATGTTCTGCTTCAAAAAGGAGGTAAAGTTTGAAGGGGGTTGCCAGAAATAAATAATCATACAACGTCTAGTTATAAGCAAGTTTTGGGCATGAGAGAGTCTCAGGAGCACAGGTGTGGAATGGACAAGCATGCTTAGAATATTCTAGAAATAGCTAGGAAGCCATCATAAAGTGAGCATAAGAGAGGATGACGTGAGGGCAGAGGGTTGCATCTCCTGGGTATTAGGACACAGAGTGTAGCTTCTCCTTGAGAAAGGGAAAGCAGTCATTTATTGTCCTCAAGGCTACCCTAGAAATGCATTCAGAGACCAGGATATAAGGGCTGGGAATCTCAAGAGGCCACCAACAGCTAAGAGACACCTGGAGCCATGTCTCTCAAGGCTTACCAGTTACCCAAGCATAGATGGCCGAGGGTCATGTCCAAAAGCACGTGTTTCCTGTGTGTTCACAGGGAAGATCTTAGTCTCGTTCTCTAAGATTGGTTTTACCATCTCCACATTGGAAGGAGAACCAGCCCAAAAGGGACCTCCCTTGTCTTGCCAAATAATTCCCACTCCACATATGGTTGCACCGGTAAAGGGATATCGTCTATAAGCAGACGAAAATGCCTTCTTGATTAGCCAGTTCCCACAGGAATCAAACCATCAGAGAGTTTCTCAAGCAGCGGCAGCCAACTCCAGTCTCCCAGCTGTGCCGATTCCTTTAGCTCCCTCCCATACTGTACGCTGGCGAGCCCGTAAGGCAGTAGCAACGGTGTCGTTCTATAGTTGAGTGTGTAACTCGGTCTGTCATTTTCAGGAGTTGTGTTTTTTGCAGCTTCTAACTAGCTCTTTGTTTGTCTTTCTTGCCTCATTCATTCTGTGGGAAGCTGGTGACCATTTCATAAGCAGCTCCAAAGGGAAGCTAATGTGTCAAGGGAACATTGGCTGGAGGGAGTAGAGCCTCCAAGTAGCCTTGGGGGGATACAGTCTTAGAAGACCCGGTGCCAGCTGGATCCTCTCAGCTAATCCAAGCCTGGATGCTCCATCTTTGGAAATGATAGGACCCAAAGATGACTTTTGTTTTCAGTGGCTAGATTTGTTACACGGCAAAGTTATCAAATATGACTCCCATAATAGCTTTTTTTGGAGACCTGGAATCATGATCTCTACTGCATAGTTAAAGAAACCAAAGCACGGTAGGGCTATTTATTGTTAAAGTGGGGCAGTTTGCATGTGCAAGGGGTCATTCTTACCAATTGTCCTGTGTAATTGGGAGGGTGCCTGAGTCCCTGGCATAGCACAAGAAGTGATCATGTTACAATAAAACCTTAGTCAGAGATCCCAGGCACAGAGAGTCGGGCTCAGGACTGGTCTAAGATGCGCCTGTTTCCAGCATCCACTGTCTCTGAGAGCTTCCTCCCTGTTTACTTCATGGGCACATGTTCAGGGGTGGCAGGAATGCAGGTGTAACAGGTTATACTATGTGCATAGTGTAAACCATATGTACAAATGCAGGAAAAAGATAGGGAGGGGTTATTTTCTTCTGTATGAATTTGCATATGTTACTTTGATAATTTTAAAGCAATACATTGCTATGTGTGTATGTATACACATGTTCATTTGTGTGCAGATATGTGGGTGTGTGTCTGTGTGTATACATATGTTTGTGTATGAATGTGGAGGCCAAAAGACAATCTCAGGAATTCCTCAGATGTTACCCAGTTTTCTTCTTGGAATGCAGGTCTCTCATTGGCTGGCCAGTGAACTCCAGAGATCCATGTGTGTTTACCTCCCCAGGGCTAGAAATACAACACGTGACAACACACCTATCGATTTTACATGGGTGCTGTGGATCTGACCTTATGCCCTCATGCTCATGAATCAAGACCTTGACCAACAAAGCTCTCTCTATGTGTATGACTGTTTTGCCTTCATGTATACATGCGCGCCATCTGGATACTTGGTGGTGCCTGTAGAATCCTGAAGATTACATTTAGGTGGACCTGGGAAATGAACCCTGGTCCTCTGCAAGAGCAACAAGTGTTCTTAACCACTGAACCATCTCTCCAGCCCTGCGAAGCTCTCCCTAGACCCAAAACTATTCATCTGGAAAAACCCCACTGCTGCGACGGGCCGCAGTTATCACCAGCAGGCAGCGTGAGTCTACAATGTGTCACGCTGAGTCACAAGCTCATGGCCAAGTGCCCCAGTTAAACACTTTCCTTTTTTTTCTTTCGTCGAGCCTGTGCTGGCAAAACAGAAGCAGGAGGTCCTTGTTTCCTGGGGCACCCAAGAGGTCATTCCAGGCTTCGAAGTCCTACTGCATATGCCCCAAGTGTGTATAAAGTTCAGAGGACATTGGGGAAAAGTGGGTCACCTCATCAACTGTCTCTGCCCCTGTCACTTCTTTTCTGTGCCCCCACCCTTCTCCCCGCCTCCTTTTTTTTTTTTTGCGTGGCTTTCCTTTCTCCCTTCCTTCTCTTGTTCTGCCATCCTCCAGGAGTCTTTCTGCTTACCCACCCAACAAATATACAACAAGGGCTCTAGTCCCTGCTATTTCAGGCGCTTCAAGGCAATGATGTGACCTCTGAAAAAGACCAATGTAGATACAAACGCCTTTGTTCTGGGAGCTGCAGGAGCAGAGACACAGAGTGAGTGGTGTACATAAACCACCCAGCAGGTTAGGTGATGATAAGCCCACAGAGAAAAGAGCCTTGGAGAAGAGACCCGGCGGGTGACAGCATAGGGACAGTGGCCAGGGCAGCAGCAGGGCTGGTCTCACTGGGAATGTGCAGCGTTCTCCCGAAGCCCTGGGTCTGGGGAAGATCAGCATAACTGAGGACACAGCCTGTTCTAAGATGTGCGGGCAGAGAATCCAAAGTCAGACTGCACCTTGTATGCTTATATCACAGCAAAGAAGCTGCAGAGGACGCGGTGCTGAGAGGCAGAGGCCAAGAGATGGCTGACTGGCGGGAGTTTGAAGGGTCTCCGGGTCAAGGCAAGGCTTTGCCTTTGATGCCGTTACATAAGAGACTGTGGAGGCCTCTGTGCGAGGGTGCGTGTGTGTTACGATGAAATGATGTACCTTTAACCTGCTTGCTTCTTTCCTTCTTATTTTTCCTTTTTTATCCCTGAGGTAATTCTGAGGAACAAGGGCTCAGCTCTTAAGAAACGCGTAGCCCAATGGAAGAGAAAGCCCCAGAAACATTTAGAAGGTTATTTCTCCCTTAGAGCCCTTTCCACTCTCAGGAGTTTCTTTTGACTTTTCCATAACTGACATTCAGTCTTCTAAAAGAAAGGTTTATGAAGGTCCAATGAAATGCCACCAATACTGTGACAGGGACTGCCTCAGGATATCAAGGAGAGAGATTGCTGTGATGGGATGTTGGGGAGCACTGGGTGGGAGTGATGCCTTCTGAGCGGAGGCTTGATGGAGCTAGGGCATGGGTAAATGGAACTTTTGCAGCATCTTCTTCAGAGGGTTCTCGCTGCGTATAAGCTTTGGGCAGCCTGAGACCCCCTCGGTGGAGAGGAGGGGCAAGAGACAACCGCAAGAACGTGGGTGTACCTGATGCTGTTAGCGCTGTAACAATGATAAACAAGCTGGGGAAATAAATAGCAATTAAGCCAGGGTAGTTGGTGTGGAATGACGGGAGGTGTCTGATGGAGTCTGGGGAAGCTTACGGAGCGATGAGGAAGGGGAGAGAAGAGGTCTGAGGATTGGGGAAGCAGCATTCTTTGACAGAGGGGACAGCAGGGACAGCAGGGAGGCAGTCAAGGGGCATATAAAGGATAGGGATGGAGGTCCGTGAGGTACTTGGGGGCTCTGCAGGCTATGGTAGAGACTTGGGTATTTTCTCTAAGTGCGCAGGATTTGGAACTGGTGCTACATGATTAGAATTACAGAGCAGGTGGAACAAAGGGTAGAGATCAAGGCCCCGAGCAGAGAGGACCAAGAGGCAGTTGCCATGGAGATCTTGAGGTTTCTAAGAAAGCGGGAAGAGTATGAATGTAATATTTAGACCATATACTGAAGGGGACAAGGTTCTGAGGGGATCCAGAAAGCTCTGCACCCTGAGGATGCAGAAGTGAAACAGTGCAGAGATGAAACATCATGGTTCCTGTTCCCAAAGAGGCCGTGTATTCACTGGAAGAGACTCAAGCAAAACAGACCTTGGTAAGCCCACTAAGACACTCCGGGAGCCTGTACACCACATCCTAGGTGGAAGGCCAGGAACGGGTTCACACAGCTGAATCCTGAGGAAGGATATTTACGCAGTGAGTAGGAAGCAGGGAGGAAAGTCAAGCATTCAGAGGAAAGGGAGCCTGAAAAACTCTGGGGCTTGCTCGGCAGCCTCTTCCTCCACAGAGGAGTCCCAGAAGCCTGGTCTGACTGTGCTCTCTGACGGGAATGCCAGTGCCTGCATCCGAGCCTATATTTGACAAACTAAAAAAAAAGGTATCATACATGGTATATTTTGGGTTCTATAAGCTCCTAGTTTGAAGCCTAAATGGAGGCGAGACAAGATGTCTCCAGATTGTATCACAGGCATGAGGGGGATGAAAGGACTGTGAAGCTGGGCTTGCTTGGGTGGTTCGAAAAGGCTTTGGGCTAGCTTAACAGTGCCACTGGCTTGAGTGTACTGTCAATGGAGGCAATGGAGGTTACTAGTCTCCATTTGTTCCCTAGCACCAGCTCAAGCATAGAAATGTCTGTGGAGACTAAGGTTGGGTGGGTAGTGTTCATTTTCCTAATGGGGATGGCCTAAGGCAAACAGGGAGACTTTACAAAGATTCTCAGAGGTGAAGGCGATTTGCAGACGAGAGTTCTCCCTGGGGTACTTCAGAAGGCAGAGTAGATGAGCCAAGACAGAGCCCCTTGGGGGCAAGCCGGGCTAGGAGGCTGCCACAAAAAGCCACTATGATCTTCACTTTGTTAAACTTCCTCTGGGAGCATGCGCCAGAAAGCACTGGGAAATTCAGGAGAGCTAACCAGAGACAAAGGTTTAAAAAGTAAGTCCCAGAACCTTCTGCTCCTGCTGCTGCTTGGGCCGGCACCGTCTCCCTGTACAGCTTTCAGGCTCTATTGGCAGCTACTCTATGAACTGGCTTCGGGCGAGTTCCCGGGGTAAAAGGTCCACCCTGGGCGTGGCAGACAGGCTTCCTTTTGAAGGCTCACCCTTGCATCTCCACTCAGTGAGGCCTACCACTGCTGAGTAATAATCGGGCTGAAATCTGTCGGCAAGGAGTTCTTGCAACATGCCATGCCAGGCTGCCAGGCTGCCAGGTAAACAGTCGGTGTGTATGCCCAGAGCTGTCTTCCAGGGAAGCCTCCCTCCCTGCTGGCCTCCAGGCTGTGGTTCCACCCTGCCTCTCTGTCTTCTTCTCCGAGGCTTCCCAGTCCTTCCCTGGGAACCAGGTCAAGATCCCTAACTGGCAGGTGTCATGAGACATGGATCAGGGCCCTGTATGGAGAAGGCGGGAGATCTGGGCTGAGGCCAAGCCGGAAAGATTAGTGAATGATTGATCTGGTCAACAGCCATTATCTACTGGGTTAAGAATTTGTATATGACAGGATAGCTCTTTGTGAGAGAAGGTCAGGCAGCTGAAAAATCACCGTTTGGTCAAGAATTAGCTTTTTCGTGCCTTCAGTGGGAAATTGAGTGTCAGGCAGGTAAGAGATTCAGATGTTGGAAAGGTAACAGCCGCCCCTTCCATCTGGTGCTGAGATAAAGAAAGCTCATTGTTTTAGAGGTGGTTTAAAAGTCTCAGTGTGACTGAATTTTCCAAACATTTATTGTCTAGACTGTTGAAAACCCAGTGACCAACTCTCAAAGACTTCAGTCTCAAAGACATGACAACCTTGACCTGAGTTTGTCTCCTACACTCATGTCCATTTGATTCAGTAGATTGTTAGTGGGTGTGCTGGAATGTCACAAGGGTCAAGTCTGGGTTCCTGACCTTGGACCTCAGGCTCAGAGGATGACACTGGGATCAGATATAACACTCAGAAATGGTGAGGCATAATGCATTCAAAGGCCAGTGAGAAGGAAATCAAGGAATGATTTTGTGAGGCTCTGTAGCTTTAACTGAACCTAGACAGGTACACAGGAATGGAATTCTGCGGTTACTGACCATGGGTTTGGACTTGTGTTACACTAGTGGTCACTATAAATAATCAATTATGTGGAACATTTAGTCAAAAGAGTTCACCAACATCACAAGAAGACTTATTCTAGACATCCTGATAACTTCCCCTGCATCCTCTCTACCCTGGGTTTGAACCCTTCATGAAGTGGTTTTAGTGTAACCATCACAGATGATGACCTGGAAAACAAGTGACATGGATCAGTGTATTAAGGGAGGGGGTTGAGCTATGTCATTCTTACAACCTTTCTCTTCATAAATTACCTCCGTCTTCAAGGGCCAAACATCTGAATGCTCCCTTCATGGTGTTTCATCATTTACTGAACATCTGCCAAGTAGGCATTCACAGACGGCTAACACGCAGTGTTGAGAGTGGAGCAAGACCATCTGAGTCACCTTGGAGAGTGCTAGGTTGGGAGATGCAGAAGTCTGGGAGCCCGAGGTCACTGTCTCTAGACCGTGGATGTGTAGGAGAGTGGCTGGTATGCCTAGGTGTGTAGAAGGGTTGTCCCAGGGAAAGGGACAGAGGTAGGAAAGAATGGTAAAAATTCAATAATGAGGTACCAAATGGTCATAACAACTGCAAATATGAAGGGCAGAAACCCAAGAGCCAAGTGTTGTCGGGGCCAGGCTCCCACTCAAGACTCTAGGCATAACCCTGTTGGGTGCATTTCTCTGAGCTCATTGGTGTTGCCCACAGTCCCTTC